GCTGTATAAGATCGGGGAGGCGTAAGTCAAGCAGTGGCGAAGCGTCCTTGCTCGCGTGTAGGCCTACCCAACAATGTTCTAAGAACCTTTTGTGGTTTCCACGGGATGTTCTTAGAAGATTTCTGTCTGGGACTGTCTTGTTTTAACACATCGGGTTTAGGCTCTAAGAACATTGTTTTTGTTATTCGAGCATTTTTGGGTTCGAAGAACTTTTCGTGGTAGGCCTGTCGGAATGCCGGGACGGACGGTCCCTGCTCAAGGAAGGCTCGAGTTGGCCGGTATTCGGGTTTGCCAGCGCTGCTTGACGGGCCCGCCTTGCGTTCTGACGACCCAGTTTCCGCGGGATGTTGCAGCGGGCGCTCGCGTCCAGTTTCAGACTGGACCTCGTCATTGTCCTGGCGGCCCCGTCAGGTCAACCCGAACTCCCCCGAAGCCAAGTCCTATGTCTCCCTGATAAGATGATAAGAGCCCTTTTTGCGGGGTCGGGTCGGGTCACCGACCTCTCCCGCCCTGTCTTCTTCCTCGGCGGCGCTCTATGGTGCCCCTTGCTGCCTGCAGTTCGCTCGCCCGCTTCCTCCCCCTCGCGCTTCGCTCCCATCTCCATGCTTTACACCTGGCTCCCACCCGTCGCGCCCCCAGTCGTGTCCGTGGGCCAGGCCGGGCGTTTTTTGTTGGATACTTCCATGCAAGTTTGCATCCCGGTGCGAGGAAGCTCCAACAGCTTCAAGGATGGAGGGTCGGTTGGTTTTTAAAGGTGTGGCTCTCGCAGCGGCGTCGCGCACGTTCGCCCCAGAAGCTTACAGTAGCTACCAGTATGGAGGCCGTCTCGTTTTCAAATCCAAGCAGTGGCGAAGCGTCCTGGCTCGCCTATTGCGGTCTGCAAGAAATATTTTTAGAGCATTTCTGGCTGGGGCTGTCTTGTTTGATGACATCGGGCTTATGCTCATTGCTTTTGTTCTCAGAAAATGCATGGGTTCTAAGAACATTTCGTGGTAGGCCTACAGGAATGCCGGGAAGGTCGGTCCCTGCTCGACATCCGTCCGACAAGTTTATCAGAACAATTTTCATGATGGAGGGTTGGTCGTTTCCAAAGTGTGGCTATTGCTTTAGCGTCGCGCGAATCCGCCCAAAAAGGTTGCGGCGGCTTCGAGGACGGAGGGTCGGTGGTTTTCAAAATGCGGCTCTCGCTAGATCGCCGCCCCATACCTTTCGACATGTTGCAACAGTTCCCAGGATGGAGGCTAGTTCGTTTTCAACGTGGCTCTCGCCCCTGTTCCTGCACATTCGTCTGGGAAGCCTGCCACGGTTATGAGGCGACTCCTCTTCCAGATTTTGTTTTCGCCGTAAAGTCCTGCATATTCTTCGTAACAGCGCTCATCAGCTGCGAGGGTGGAGGGCGGTGCCCTTTCAAACTGGGGCTCTCGCTCGAGACTCTCGCATCTCAAGACAGTAAGCCTGAGCATACTTAACAGGTGCACGGATGAGGGGCGGTTTGTTTTCCATGGAGCCGTTGCTTCGAGACGCGGCCTCCATATTTCAATGACCCGGCGTGTCATCTTGCGCAGCAGCTGCATGGAGGGGGAGGGCTAACGAGGCTCCCGGTGGACACCTCGTTGAATTTTAGAGGCTCGCCTCGGTGCCGCGCACATTTTTTTGAAAACGGCATTCTCGCCTCGACGCCGCTCACATTTTTGGGGCAGACCACCTGAGAATCCGCCGCCCTCCCACACAGGGGGCACAGGGTCTTGGATCATCCAGGAGGAGGAGGAGGAGGAGGAGGAGGAGGAAAAGGAAAGGAGCTTCGAAAAGGAGACGGAGGAAAAGGGACGATGATGATGATGATGATGATGATGATGATGATGATGATGAGGAGGAGGAGGAGGAGGAGGAGGAGGAGGAGGAGGAGGGGATGAGGAGGAGGAGGACGAGGAGGAAGAGGAGGAGGAGGAGGAGGAGGAGGAGGAGGAGGCAGAGGAGGAAGACGACGACGACGACGAGGAGGATCACGAGGAGGAGGAAGACTCCCAAGAGGAGGAGGAGGAGCTCCTTTTCTTCCTCTCTTTCGTTCGTCTGTTCTCTCGTCATATACTCCACTCTCTTTGTCATTCTTTCTTCCTCTCTCTCTCTGTCTCTCTTTCTCTATTTTCTGGTTTTGCCAGCCTTCAAACAATCATCGCCCCCCTGAGCATCGTGAAAGTTGTTTCTTCTCTTTCGTTCGTTCTCGGAGAAGAACGAGGAGGAGGACGAGGAGAAAGAGGAGGGGCTCGGCGATCCAGATTTCAACGGAGGTTTTCGGCGCAACCAGAGGATTCGGAGCAAACAGAGGTCCAGAGAGGTTTCTGATGCAACCAGAGGTCTTGGAGCAAGCAGGGATCCACGGAGTTCTGGGGGCAAGCGGAGGTCCAGAGAGAACCACAACTCAAACCACAGAGGCCCAGAGAGAACCACAAGGGCCTATCGGCACGGATGTTGCACCATTGCGTACATTTATTTCGGCTCAAGTTTTTTGGTAAGAACGCAGGAGTTCAGGAATTGTATTGTTACCTGACAGCGAAGACTGATAGGTTTCTAATGGTCCCAAAAGAAATCATCTTGACTCCTCAGGGGGGTCTGGGCAGATGCCGGACGGGTGCCGGGGAGAATCCGCGGAAGTCGTTTTAAGCAAACAGTTACACACTTCGTGGTCTTCGAGGTCTCAGAACTCCATTCCCAGGCCACATTCTGAATGCCCGGAGCCAACTGTAGGCCACTTCGTGGTCTTCGAGTTCCCAGAACTCCATTCCCGGGCCACATTTTGAATGCCCGGGGCCAACTGTAGGCCACTTCGTGGTCTTCGAGTTCCCCGAATTCTATTCCCGGGCCACATTTTGAATGCCCGGAGCCAACTGTAGGCCACTTCGTGGTGTTCGAGTTCCCAGAACTCCATTCCTAGGCATGGTTTTGAATGCCCGGAGCCAACTGTAGGCCACTTCGTGTTCTTCGAGTTCCCAGAACTTTATTCCTGGGCCACATTTTGAATGCTGAGGCAGGCTGATGCTGAGGCTGAGGCAGGCTGAGGCTGAGGCAGGCTGAGGCTGAGGCCGAGGCTGAAGGCAGAATGAGGCTGAGGCTGAAGCAGGCTGAGGCTGAGGCTGAGGCAGGCTGAGGCTGAGGCTGAGGCAGGCTGAGGCTGAGGCTGAGGCCGAGGCAGGCTGAGGCTGAGGCCGACGCTGACGGCAGGCTGAGGCTGAGGCTGAGGCTGAGGCTGAGGCTGAGGCTGAGGCTGAGGCTGAGGCTGAGGCTGAGGCTGAGGCTGAGGCTGAGGCTGAGGCAGGCTGATGCTGAGGCTGAAGGCAAGGCTGATGCTGAGGCAGGCTGAGGCTGAGGCTGAGGCTCATGCAGGCTGAGGCTGAAGCAGGCGGAGGCGGAGGCCGAGGCTGAAGGCAGACTGATGCTGAGGCTGAAGCGGGATGAGGCCCGAGGGTGAGGCAGGCTGAGGTGAGGCTGAGGCAGGCTGATGGGAGGCAGGCTGAGGCTGAGGCTGAGGCAGCTGATTGAGGCTGAGGTGAGGCAGGCGAGGGCCTGAGGCCGAGGCTGAAGGCAGATTGAGGCTGAGGCTGAGGCAGGCTGAGGCTGAGGCAGAGGCAGGCTGAGGCTGAGGTGAGGAAGGCTGATGTGAGGCACTGGCTTGATCGAGGCTGGAGGCTGAGGCTGATGCAGGCTTGATGCTGAGGCAGGCTGAGGCTGAGGCCGAGGCTGAAGGCAGACTGAGGCTGAGGCGGAAGCAGGCTGAGGCTGAGGCAGAGGCAGGCTAAGGCTGAGGCTGAGGCAGGCTGAGGCTGAGGCAGGCTGAGGCTGAGGCTGAGGCTCATGCAGGCTGAGGCTGAGGCAGGCTGAGGCTGAGGCCGAGGCTGAAGGCAGACTGAGGCTGAGGCTGAAGCAGGCTGAGGCTGAGGCTGAGGCTGAGGCTGAGGCTGAGGCAGGCTGATGCTGAGGCAGGCTGAGGCTGATGCTGATGCAGGCTGAGGCTGAGGCAGGCTGAGGCTGCGGCCGAGGCTGAAGGCAGACTGAGGCTGAGGCTGAAGCAGGCTGAGGCTGAGGCTGAGGCAGGCTGAGGCTGAGGCTGAGGCAGGCTGAGGCCGAGGCAGGCTGAGGCTGGGCTGAGGCTGAGGCAAGCTCAGGCTGAGGCAGGCTGAGGCTGAGGCCGAGGATGCAGGCAGACTGAGGCTTGAGCTCTGAAAGCATGCTGAGGCTGAGGATGAGGCAGGCTGAGGCGAGGCTGAGGCTGAGGGGCTGCGGGCTGAGCTGAGGCTGAGGCTGAGGCGCGGCTGAGGCTGAGGCAGGCTGAGGACGATGCTGAGGCTGATGGCAGCGAGGCTGAGGCAGGGCGCAGGCTGAAGGCCGAGGCCGACGGCAGACTGATGCTGAGGCGGAAGCAGGCTGAGGCTGAGGCAGAGGCAGGCTGAGGCTTAGGCTGAGGCAGGGCTTGATGCCTGAGGCAGGCTTGAGGCTGAGGCTGAGGCGGATGCAGGGTGAGGCTGAGGGCATGCTGAGGCTGAGGGCAGCTGAGGCGGAGGTCTGAGGCAGGCTGAGGCTTAGGCTGTGACTGCGACTGCCGTTGCCACTGCGACTGTCATCGCGAATGCGACTACGACTGCGAGAACAACATAATTTTACAACTGGATTCTCATCTGAATCTTAAGGGGACTGCTTCCAGATCTGCTCCTACGCATCGATGTTAGGTTGCTTTGCCATGATACTTTTTTGGCCAGATGGGGAACGAGTGCGCACAGGCTTCCTGCACGTATGGACGGGGTGGCAAGCGCGCGCAGGCCGGCGGAAAAGTCAAGGCGACGTACGTCGTGCACGACAGGGGCGTCCAAGAGGCCGAGGGGCGCTTCAAACACATTCCACGAAACGACTTGGAAGACTTCCTCACTCATCCAATCACAACCGTCCTTTTCCAGCCGGACTGGTGCGTGCCTTTCTTTTTCAAGCTTTCCGAGGCCGATGTTCAGACCATGATCAACGATCTCAAGTCCGTCAGCCAGCGGCTTTTCGACAACACGGAGTGGCTTGCCCGTTGCTTGTCGGGTAGCAAGGAGCCACCCCCTGGGGACGACGACGCCGCGACCGACGCATACGACATGATTATTGCAGACGCTCGCGCTAAAACGCCCATGCGCCCCTTCATCAAGGAGTATGTGATCAATGAGATAGAGCTCCTCCCTGGCGCAACTGGCGCCCACAGGAGGATGCGGACCAGGTTCCAGAACCTCGCGGAGGCGATCGGCCAGGCGCAGCCCCCATTGTTTCGCCATTCGGGCACCAACGTCGTCTTGAAGTTGCAGTTGGATTACGCCCGCATGGTGAGCCTGATCGGCAATCACGGAGGCGCTGAGGTCTTCGGTGCCTGGCCCGGTTGGGGGTGACTGTGGACACATCTTGACCGCTTGCAGGAGTGGACTACCGATGGAGCAGTACTGGTATCATATGGTGCTTGAATTATTCGAACAGGTCAAGCCTCGTGCACGCGATGCAGCCCACTGCAGCGGCGAAACAGGGCGGCAGGGCAGATTAAGTTGAAGTTTTAAGCACTCTGCCAAGGGCATCGATCGCCGCCAGGGCATGCTCGGCGCTTGCATTCGGCGGTGCGTTGCGGATGCGGCGGCCGAGGGCGCGCCGTCAGCCGTGGTGGAGTATCGCCGTGTACCTCCATGTGGACGGTTGTTCGCCGAGGGCCCCGCAGGTCAGAAACTGACGAGGGGAGCAAAGAGGGCCGCCTTCGGGAAGGACTGCGCGGACGTGAGCGCGCCTCGCTGTCACCCGCGGCTCGCCTCAGCAGCGCTTCAGTCCATCGGGGTCGACGCGAGGGCCTCCTGCCCGACGATGACGCGGGTGTGCGAGCACTGCAAGGCGCGGCGGGCATTCCTGGCGGAGCATTACTTCGTCGGCCCCGACAACGCACAGGTGGAGCTCGCTGAGGCATTCTACGGGGCCCGCCCACAAGCCTCCGGATAACAGCGGAGGTGAGTGGGTGGGGTGGAGGGGGGCGTGCGCGATGAGCGGAAGAGAGGTCCCAGCAGGGGAGGGGCGAGGGCATCCATGTGAAAGGGGGGGGGGGAAGTATGATGCGGCGGGAGGGGGGGGGGGGAGAGGGGGGGGGTGGGGGGCGTGGACAGTGGTTGCCCCCCCCCCCCCCCCCCCGGCGGCGCCTCCGCGCGTGCTGCAGCTCTGCTCGGATATCGCCGACGGCGCGGGCCGCATTTTGAATGGCCCCTCGCATCGCGAGCGCATGGCCTGGCACCGCGACAGGCCATCTCCGAAGTTCAGCAGAATCGCCGCGTGTTCAGTCACGGGGAGGACCGCGCGCTGGCGCGACTGCGCGGCGGCGCCGCCGAGTGGCATCCACGGCGTCGTGCTCGACTTCGACGGGGCCCTGCTCAGGGTGACTACGTTGGCGCAGGAACTCGGTCTCCTGCGCGTGGTTCAGGAAATTCGACGCACATCTGGCTTCGAATGCGCCTTGAAGGCGCGGCCTCAGATGGATGCGCCGCGCTGGTCAGGCGGGTCGGCTCCGCGCAGCGGACGGGTGGCGGTCGAGAGGATCGCCCCCCTAGCTGGTGACGGCGGCAACTGCGTGCTTTCTGTCGCCGATTGGATTGAGCCGCGGCGATCGCCGACGGTCGACGACGACTTTGGTGGCAATGAGTTCGGCAGGACCATTGCCGACCTCAACGCTGAGATGAGCCACTCGTCGCACAGGGGCCCCAGTGCAATCCCGCAGTGCGTGCGAGTGCCGCTGCAGGAGGCGTTCGGCGCCGCGGGCAAGAGGGCGCACCGGGTGCTTGAGCTCGCGGAGGGGGGGGGCCCAGGCCACTGCGTCGGAGTGCTGTTTGCCGCGGAGGGCGGCGTGGCCCTTTTCTGCCCTGACGCGAAGGGCTGCGCGTTGGCCGGGGAGCTCGCTCGTCTGTGTGAGGGGCTGTCGCCGGTGTGGCATCGCTACGAGATCTCTCCTCTTGGCCAATTGGGCGCCGCTTTGGATGGGCCAGACTGCCGCTTGGAGGGCAAGGGCACCGGCGGAGTTCCGAGGCTCGAGCCCGCAGCCGCCCTATTCCGTAGGCCCCCCGCGGCCCCGGGGAGTTCGATCCGCAGGCCCGCCGCGGCCGACCCCCTGCCTTGCGCTCCTGGGCACGGGCTGCAGCAATGCGTTCCCCGCGCCTTCCAGACTCGCCTGAGCGATTGGGTGCGCCCCAGGGTCAGAGATCGAGGGGAACTGTAGGACCGCCCAAATGGGTGGCGACACTTGGGTTTGCACTTGGGTTTTCGGAAAAATCGGTGAGGACACTCAGGTTTTCACTTTGGTTTTCGGCCCACGGGATGACGATAGTACGAAGTGTCGACGTGAGAAGTTCGGACGATTCGTGAGACGACTCCAGCTTTCGCCGTAAATCCTCCTCAACTGTCTCCTACATCTTTCTCAACTCCTCATATACTCCACGTTCCTCCCCCCCTTAGGTGAGCAACCCAACCCAAGTCCTGCGTGGCATGGGGGAAAACGGGATTACGAGCAAGGGGGCGGGGGGAAGCCGTGGAAACATTAACGCAGGACGGGCAGGAAGGACAAGGAAGAGTAGTTTAGTAGGGAGGAAGAGGAGGCATATGAGGATTTTGTAGCGAGCTCACATAGAAAAGGTCGATGCTGTAGACGGGAACACAATACTAGAATTCGTGTGTGTGCGTATGCGTGTCTGCGTGTGTTCTCCGCAACCGCGTTGCTCAGCGTTTCGCCTGCCCTTATTTTTTCCAGACTTTCATCGTTGATGAGATCGCCGATATCAGTGCTCTTCCATATCGCCGTCGGCAGCGCCAGCAGCTCCGACCTCACCTTCGGCAGCGCCAGCGCCGACTACTCCATATTCAACGTCGGCAGCGCCAGCTTCGACTACTCCATATTCACGCTCGGCAGCGCCAGCGCCGACTACTCCATATTCAACGTCGGCAGCGCCAGCTTCGACTACTCCATATTCGCGCTCGGCAGCGCCAGCTCCGACTTCACGCTCGGCAGCACCAGCGTGAACTACTCCATATTCAACGTCGGCAGCGCGAGCTCCGACCTCACCTTCGGCAGCGCCAGCTCCGACTTCACGTTCAACGGCAGCGCCAGCGCCGACTGCATCTTTTTCGGAGGCGATTTCGGCAGCAAGAGCACGGACGCCTTCAACTTCGGCAGCGCGAGCTCAGACTTCGTCAATTTCGGCAGCAAGCACACGGACACATTCGACTTCGGCAGTGGCAGCGCAGACTACACCACCTTCGGCAACGACGACAGCACAGACTACACCACCAACATCGGCAGCGACGACAGCTCAGACTTCATCTTCGGCAGCGCCAGCTCAGACTCCATATTCACGTTCGGCAGCGACAGCTCAGACTACATCAATTTCGGCAGCGAGAGCTCAGACTACATCAACTTCGGCAGCGGCAGCTCAGACTACTACGAGTGCGACGTCGGCAACGTCGACATCAACGGCATGGCTTTGGAGGGCGCCCTGGCGGATTTCGAGCCCCTCCCGTGCGACGAGGGCGTCGGCGTCGGCGACCAGCAGCACGAGGGCGGGCACATGCAGATCTCGGGTTTAGATCACTGGGAGGAGTTGGAGTTGGAGGATGTCGCAGCACCAGCAGCAGCAGCAGTGCCAGCAGAGGAGCATCAGGGGCCACGACATCCCCGTCGTTCAGCTGGCCACGTTGCGCAGGCCAGGGCGGGCAAGGGCAAGAAGATCAAGGAGGAGTTGCGGCGGCAGTTGAAGGACTGGGCGGGGAGATTCGTGCAAGGCTCTGCCACTGTTCACCCGCTTCCCCAGCCTCGCCGACCCAGGGGTTGGCGAGGCTGGAGATGCAGGTGAAAGGTGGCAGCCCAGCGCGAGGCTCCCCGCCCAGTGAAGGATCAGAAGTCCAGCCACCAGTCCATCATCAGGCACGTGGCGGTCATGTGCCCAGGCGCGGCGATGATCACTGGGGCGCCGGCGGCTGCCTTGGGCAGGAAGCGCAA